CACAAACACAAACATGTATGGAATAAGCTACCGATAAAACAATCATAACAACAAGATACATACATACTGATTATATCAACCATAATCAAACATACAACAAGATACATATCTTCTGATTACATCAATCATAATCAAACACCCAAGATACATACATTCTGATTATATCAACCATAATCAAACACCCTCACTAGTGCAGCGAAGAAAAACGACAGTAGTTATTTTTTACAATACACTTTGGTTTTTCAAACGAGACATACACAAGAGAGGCAAAAAGTCATAGGTTTTTTGTTATCTGATCTAATGGAGACTAAAATCAAGGATCTCATGGATGCAATAAGACCATTTGCTTTTGTTATCTGTGCTGTTTTGCCGTGAATATTTAACTGTTGAACAAGATGTATGATCTTGCACGTTACAGGCAGATATTGATAACAGTGGGACACTTGACTATGGTGAATTCATTGTTGCTACGGTTCACTTGAATAAGTTGGAGAGGGAGGAAAATCTGGTGTCAGCTTTCTCCTATCTTGACAAAGATGGAAGTGCGTACATAACCATTGATGAGATACAACAGGCTTGTAAGGATTTCGGTTTGTAGGATGTCCATATTGATGAAATTGTCAAAGAAATTGATCAAGACAACATAATAAGTATTCGTTTGTTTTTCCTGCTATCTAGCGCTTGTTTGTAGTTGTCATAAGCTTCTTCAACACTTGATTATAAAGTTGGCAACCTGTTATTTGGGTTAATGGAAGATTTGTTGTGCAGGATGGACAGATAGCTTATGGGGAATTTGCTGCCATGATGAGAAAGAGCTAAATTGTATAAAATGAAACGTGAGAAATAAATTATACGATTGCTATAATGAAGTGCAAACAACGAGTATCATTTCAAAAGGAACTTATTTGGAATAGACCAGCTCAGAAGACCAATAAAGAACAAGCATAGCTCCACATGACTATATATCCATCATTAAATGAAGATTTAAGTAAAAATTGTTGTCAAGATTCAAATATATACATGCATTATAAGATTCAAAGTAAAAAAGGTAAAAAACCACTTCGAGCATACATGGCCCTCATCGTTTAAAAATAAGGAGAAGCCCCTATGTAACAACAATAACTGGTACAGAAAATTCAAAGTATTGAAGTAATTGCATGAGATTGAGGAAACTTAATCAGAAAGGCGAGACAACATTTAACTTGAACCGTTTATTTGGGTGCAATTTGGTCCTTCACAATTTACTGGAAGCAGGAAGAAATTTGGTATGTCGTCCCTGGGCAAAAATTTTGCCAGTTTTTTTCTTCTTGAACTCTACGCTTATAACAGCAACAACCTTCCCAACACGCAGTGCTCTGGCCTCGATCTCAATCTCCTCCTTACACAACAATGTAAAAGTATTATTACTGCAGTAATAGTTTTGCATTACATCCATTATCAGAAACCACAATAACAACTCCTAAAATTCCACTCCTCCAAATACATGTTTGAAACAATCAGTCTGGTATTGCAATAATTCAAAGAATAGGTCATGTCAACCAATCAAGTTCTCCAACACACCACACCCCCACCTACCTAACATAGAAAAGATTTTTACTTTTCTTCTGATCATTTGCAAAATAGTTACCAAATAATCAGAGAAGTTAAGGTGGCCATGTCTAGAACTTGAGCAACATGTTTGGTCAAAAACTACACATTTCAGCAACCAAGTCTCGGAAATTCAAAACCCACATCCCGTTTACCCCCTTCACCCCGAATACACACTAAATTAATGTTCTTCTAACGGCACTGTCACTCAATTCAATACAACGTGACAGAAAATCCAAGGAAGAAACACCAAAGGTGACCGCTTGCATTTTAAAGAGCAATTAAAGGAAAAAAAATCAGTCACCCAAACCAAACCTGACCCCGTTACTATGATTCATTTATCAAGTAAATGGATCATTATAACAAATCACAAATCAATAATCAAAGAAGATAGATAGTTTGGTGAGATACATCGACATAGGCAGCATCCAAGTAGGAAACATTAATCTCAACGGAAACCCCCGTATTCGGACCGCACCCAACGGTGGGAATCACGGCGGAACCCACCACATCCACCAGCGCAGCGGCGGCACCACCTTCCAACGTATTGTCAGCGTTCTGTACAAACAAAATCCAATAAGAGAATTAAAACGAGAAAATAAAAATATATATAAAAAAACGAAAGAGGAAAAAGGCGTGAGCGAGTGTACGTACGAGTAAACGTTGAGGTATCTTCATGGAACAGAGAATGCGACCAGGTTCAATGAGATCAACCTTAAGCGAATTCATTATTAGGGGTTCCAAAAACCTCGGTGGCAAAGCATCAACCTCCGATGATGTTCCCACTCCTTTCTCCAAATACCTCTTCACTGCTTCCAACTCCATTTTCACTCTCTCCCAATCCAATTCCAAACTTATCCTTAATTTATTTTCTTTCTTTTATATGTTCTCAAAATTTCACTTTTTTCTTCCTTGCCCAAAGTTGACTTTCAATCCTTCATTTTAATTATCATAATAAATCATACACTTATGCACATTTTACAGCCTATTTAATAACATAGTAATGCCTAACACTATTTTATCTTAAAAATAATAGCCATATGAATAAAAAAAATCTCATAATTTTCCTTCCCAATATAAATAATCAACACACAAATAAATTAATTTATCTAGAATAATAGCATTATGAAAACAATCATTACTCAATAAAATAATAAAAATGATAGCAATTAAATTTTAACTTAATAAACTAAAATAGTAAGATAAAAGCACGTACACATAAATTGTGAAGATTTAACTCAGAATGATCTTGTTTAAGAGTTTCCTGTTATAGTTAAATGATTCAAAAATTACATGCAATAAACAATACATGTGAAGATAAGATTATTAGTCTTGTATCGTCTAGTATATATTATGTACAATTTGGTTAAATCGTCTGATTCAGATTTGAGTTTATGTCTCATGTTTGATCGTTATAACATAATCCATGTATATATAGGACCTTGTACACTTTGTATTAGGTTAACTATGAGTTGTAACATTTTAGTTATCTCAAGTGAGAAGTTTGCCATGAGAGAGAAACTTACATATTGTAATCTCTGATTTATTAAACTTTCTCAGTCAATAATATTTCATTCAAATCATGTTATGTATGCTTGTTCTTTATCGTTTCCGGCGCTTGCACTGCTGTTTTCTGTGTTTGTGTGGTAGTTGATTTTGAGTGAATTTGTGAGCTATTCCACAACATATTGGGGGCTGGTCTACGTATGGTACAGTAGAGAAGACCGAAGGGTCAAACCAAAAGAACAAATTTTCTTTTCGAAAAGAACCCTCATTCTTTAAACACAGGAATTGTGACAAAAACTGG